TCTAGACAGCGTTTCAGTATCCAAGAATAAAACTACAATAGAATAAGTAGTAATGTTAAAAGCACAATTATCGATTCCATTAATATTATGCTCTAAAAGATCTAAGAGCTTCTAGTTATGCACAGCACCATTTTGTTACTAATTCAAGCGAGAGTATTATAAATTTCATTGATAAGTTCTCCTTTAGATTGCTTATATTATGTAAGGCTAAAGACTATATTAACGGCACAAAATTGTTCTTTATATATATATATATATTGTGTGTGTGCTTTTGTATTTCCAAAATTGTATATTACTCCCAGAAAATTAAATATTCTGCGAAGTAACAATACCTTAGGGTTAGTCTTGGACCATATTAAATAAACAGAAGTTACATCATGTAGTAATGTAAAATAAGTCCCATGTATAAGATGGCATCTCTTAATAGAATATGATAGAAAAAAAAACGCCATAGATTAGCTTCATGTGACAGTTAAAATGGCATGAACTAGCCCCATGGAGAGGAAAATCTCATTGCCTGCATGGTGTTGGCAACTTCTAATACCATAACATAAATAAAATAACATCACTTAACTCTACATGGGAGGCAAAAGTACCTTTAAGTACTGACTGACATATAAACTAGATGTACTTCCGCAAGGTCCCCGAAGGTTTCCTGTTTCAAGAGTAAATAAAACCAAGATTAAGAGTAATAAATATTTTTATTTTATTTTTTTTTGCTTTCCAATTTCTACGTCATGCTCTGTTGTAGCCTACAAAGAGCACAATTCTTCTCGTGATTCATGGCATGCACACGTTTCACTGATATCACGATAGTGCAAATTGCAACGTTAAGTGCTCCTTATATGACGTCATTCTAGTGTCTAACAGACAACACACTACTGTTTCGTGGTGAGATTAGTTAAAACAGGTGACCCCTCCAACGGCCTTAGGTCCCCTTTAAAGTAAAAACTTTTTTGAAATATACAATAAAAGATAAAATCATATCCTCTATAAGCATTTTGTTCCTGAAGAAAACAAAATAGTCATGAAAGGAACGTGACGAAACCCAATAACTTAAATATTTGAGATAGCTTAAGTATATCCAAACGGTTATTTTCAAGCTAATTAATTCACTAACAAGTGTGATGTCAAACTTTAAAATTATTGAAACCAAAACCAATATTTCAGTAATGTATCCAGTCGTTCCAGTTGCAGTATTTGGATAAAATTAATAAAAAATAAACTCGCTCTCCTGTCGTTATAGTTATAGTTATTGCATTTAAAATACATATATTTTACTATATAAAGAACTTATTTACAAATATTTAACCATTTCAATGGTGAGTCTAAGTTTGAACTATTAGTAAAGAGTAACATTTATTAAGTGAATCCTCACTGTCAATTTTAAAGTTTTGAAATACGTTTTAGTGATATGTGTTTGCATCTTTCCGATAACATTTGATTGTACGAGGTACGTATTAAAAATGTATCATCTCGGATCTGTTACCTGCTATTCAACAGAAAAAATAAATAAAACTTTGGAACACATATCATGGTTTGTTTTTAGGCGTTCTAATTCTAAAGCGATGGATCTATAATAATGTTTTTTTGTTTATTTTACTGATCCACATATCATAAAACTTTGAAACAAAAGATACATTTTCAATTACACAGGCCTACAAATTGAAACTTCATAAAAGTTGTTTTGGTTTTAATAACGGACTTTTTATAATTCAGCTAAGCAGATTTCGAAAACAATATTCATTTTTTATCACGTAATAATTTTTTTTACAAATTTAAAAGAAAAAAAACACTTACTTAGATCAAATTATTATTTCGTTTACCACACTGAACATTTTTGTATTATTTTTTTAAACAAAAATACAAATCATCCTGATTTTTTTGGTGAAATCTGCGTGTTTTTAATCTCAAAACCACGCGTTGTGGTCTTTCTTTCTTTTATGCATTGCGTTATTACATTTTGTGAAAAATCTGTACGTGCTGGAGAAAAATGAATGTCATTTTCGGATTAAACTTACAGGGATTACTGTAGATCATGTAAAAACTTCAAGACAATAAAAGCATCGCAGGCCTGTGTTACTATTAAAGCCTTACTAGAAACATGTTGCTCTTGCTAAAAAGATCGTTTGACTTTATGAAGACAATAAAGAAAACTAATGAACACGTGACGTTCACCACGTGTTACCTGGTTACCTGACATAGTTTTGTTTGGTGTTTTGTTAATATTGCAGTGGTATATTTTATTTTTCTACATGTTGCAGCGATTAGCTTAAGTAACATTTACTGAATTACGTTACGTCATGAAAATTAGATTCTTTATTATCTGATTTTTCGATTTTAACCTAATCTCCTGAAATAACTAAGTTTTTTTCAATAACTGAATGTTAGTTTTGTAAATTCTTAAAAAATTTCAAAACAGTCATTTGACATTATCATATTCACAACACACTTAACTAGTCATCTATATAATTAAAAGTGTAACGTGTGCGCAGATCTGTGCGTGCTTCGAAAGCTTTTGAAACTTCATTAAAATATGAAAAAATTAAATTAGGGAAGTACGAGTGGGTGTATTAATTGCAAAGGAAAATGGTATTTTGGTTCTACCATCGCTCAGAGCCCCATGTGAGATAACACTGTTTATGTGTTAAGATTATGTGTGTGAACTTCATTTATTTATAAACAGTTAGAGTTATACACTAGTTCTGACACTTTCACAGTGCACAATGTCGTAAAAATTATAGGAACCAAGAAAAGTGTCAAAAAAGGGGTGACGCAATAATGTTTTCCACCACTGTGTGTCCAAAAGTAAATGTAGAAAAGAAACTAGCACATAAAAATTGTCCGAAGAATGTATCGCTCGTACAAGTGATCTTAATGAAGAATGTATCGCTCGTACAAGTGATGTTAATGAAGAATGTATCGCTCGTACAAGTGATGTTAATGAAGAATGTATCGCTCGTACCAGTGATCTTAATGAAGAATGTATCGCTCGTACAAGTGATGTTAATGAAGAATGTATCGCTCGTACAAGTGATGTTAATGAAGAATGTATCGCTCGTACAAGTGATGTTAATGAAGAATGTATCGCTCGTACAAGTGATGTTAATGAAGAATGTATCGCTCGTACAAGTGATGTTAATGAAGAATGTATCGCTCGTACAAGTGATCTTAATGAACAAAAGGTTTGCTTCCACATTTTTTTTATTTCAGTCCGTAAACTTCCATCTTTAAAAGTTAAACATTTGACTTCAAACTTTCTTTATCTCAAAAAATAAACAATAACTCTGATACTCTGTATAACTGCGTATGTTTCAGAGCGTGCGTCGTAACACATTTACAGGGTAATTTGCGTTATCAATTTGCGTCACTAAACTTATAATACTTTCTGTTAAATGTAAAATTTATATTTTGTTTTGAAAATTGCCGGGTTAGTGAACCAAGTACAAAGTATAACAAAATAATATATTTGAAGTAATGATGCTTATACAGCTACAGAAGTGTTCATCTTATAAAATATAATAAGTTGACAGTATCTTCCCGATTCATCTCCCCTCCACCTATAACCTCACATAAGGTAAGAACTCGCTCTTACTTCCAACTGGAGTGTGCTGCCAACCTAGACATACTACAGGGAATCACATGTGGCATCTTGCCAAGTGACCTCGCGTGACCCATGGGGCTTCTCACGAATTGCTCTTAGCCAAATTATAGCATTTTCATTGTTATTGCTAATCTCGCCTGTCTGGTTGCGTCACAAGTCTTGTGTTGATTTTCTACAAGAGAAAGGTGAAGACAAATTCAGAGCATCACATCTGGTGAACAAATGTCCATTCGACAAAATATTTAGACCTAATGTGTTTACAATATGTTGCGTTATCGTTACATCTTTCCATATGGAAAACCATCTAGTATTTCCGAAATGCTGTAAAAATCAGAATCACTTTTAATGATTATTTACTTGGATGTGTTTCTCTAAAATCAAACCTTAGAACTCAAGAGACTTAACTAAATTTCAAAATGGCTTCTAGTCTAGAGATTGAATTCACCAGACTCGTTTATAAAAAGAATTACATACTTGAATTGCATATTTTATATTCAAATGTCGTAAAGTAAAGAAGCATATACAAAGATATACATATTAATATATAATTATTTCAGATAATTTTTGTAACACCAGTGATGAACATATTCATCTTAGTTTTGAAGTTTACATTTCAATGAACTTTGGACAAAAAACAACAACTATTGTTGTTACTTTTGTATTACATAATCAGCTAAAACATTGACTCGATTCTATGGATCAGCACGTTTATATTATGAACGGATTTATTGTGTTTGGTGTAGTTCAGAACTTAGTGCACTAACCTAGACACGTGATTTTCACAAAGTTGTTTGGAGAGCTTAGATTTAGATAGTAAGATGTTTGTTTTTGTGTGTATTTTCTATTAATTGGGATATCATTTTCTTATTCCTTCTCAAATCACAGACAACCTTTTTTTCTTCAAAATAGAAAGGTATTGTTAAATTAAACCAACAACATACAGGAAAGATTCAGCTTAAAATCAATCAGAAGAAACTCCAGAGTTGTTTTTACTCATAGTTTAGTTATCTAGCAGCTTTACAGTCATGCCACAAAGAATAACCAAGTAATATTCACGGTTTGTAAAATGATCCAGTATAATACACGTTTACAGCATCGCTTTGATAGCTAGATTAGCGTATGTAGTGCTTAAGATTACTTTTTGCAATTTCTTATGTTAAACTAATTTTAATCGTAAAGTTTTTCAAATCACGTTGTTTGCTGGTGTTAACATTAAAAGTTGGTTATCAGATCTGAAATCAAAAACTTAACACTATCTGGACATTTATAAGTATGATATTCAACTTAATATCTTCAGAAGTTGCTGATTAGCCGAAAAATGTCTAACTGCAATCTTCAAGTAGAAAACAATAAATGATAAAATGTTTCGTAGAAGAACATTGGAAGAATGCCTTACCTTGACACAAACAACACGTTTAACCTGTTCAGAGAAACAACCGATGGGCGGGTCAAGGACCGACCATTGGTCTCATAGCTTACAGGATAAGCAGGACTCGGCTTACCGCTTCAAAGTTTTATGAAATCTCTCCAGATTCTCAAATGATATTTCAAAACTAAAATGTGCACGTCTTTAGAAACTACTATATGTGTTTCTCTGCACTTGCTAAGTGCCGAACGCACACGAAGACAACACGGCACGACAGATTTCTCCACAATGTTCGCTCAAACCCCTCATCAGAGGACACATCTATTTCGGAGGCGTCTCACTTGCTAACTGAACCAGCACATGCGCGAGGAAACTCTGTGCTACGTCTGTTTACTGGCGCCCCTCTCGGAGTCCTTGACTGAAATAATAGAAGGACCTTTCACGTGTAGGACAAGTTTTGGACAACAGAACGGCAATTGGATCTTAGTTCTTTAATTTCTTTTGCGCCTGGCTCACTTTGTTCACGTGTCTTCTCCGTACCTCACACTGTTCACTGTTAGCCCAAGAAAAACTGCTCTAGGATCCAACGACATTACACAGATTCACATTTATTTTTGGCAGTCGTGGGGGAAAGCATAGAGGCAATTTTTATGTGCGTCTCTATGAAATTCATGTAGCTTTGTTTTAGTAAAACTTTATTGTTAGGTAACGAGCTATATATACATTCATAAATAAATAAATCTAATGCTACGAAATACATTAACTGTCCTTAAGCGATTAAAATCAGCACTATAAAACGATAATAACTTAATAGTAGAAATAAACCACCCTTGGGAGTTTTGTAGAAATATATTAATATATTTTGTTTTTTATAACTTATGATATAAATAAAAGGGTGAAGGTTGGGAGTTTTACATTTTAGAATTTCAGGGTGGTTTAGTACTACTCTAAGGTTATACCTAGATATTAAGGGTAACTGTCTTCCCACAACTGGTTGAAGACAGCGAAAGGCAGTAGAGTTGAGACGTTATGGGTTCAAACACTCAACTCCCAACGCTTAACTGATTCGCCTTAGCCGGTGGCGAGTTTTACACGACGTCGAGATCTGATACATGGATAATCTCCAACGCTATGACCACAGAAATTATCTGTTATGAATTAAGGATGACAACGAGGGTTGGTAATGGAATAATAATTTTGAACTTTAGTCTCATTATAATGTTGTTTTATACATATATATATATATGGGAGAATAATACTGAAAACTGGTAAGTTTCCAGAGATTGCTTTTATAACACGAAAAGGGCATAAAAATTAAAGCCCACTATGAACGTATGTGCTTATAAACAAACAATGTACGTTAGCAGTTCAGTGCTTCAGTTACCAACAACGTAATTTGTATAATCATAGACAAAAGTATTAAAAGTGTAATTTATCAGTTTCTTATTTTTCCTGTTGAACTCGAAACGCCGGTTATTTATTTGATTATTCTAACAAACACATAGTAATTATTTGTTCAAACGTAGTTAGTACTTAATAACACACAACTTTGAACCAAGATTAAATCCCTGTTAGATATAGCATAATCACCACTAAACAGTAAAAAAGCGTTGCGTTTCTACTTTCAGGATATGTAATTTATAAGGTATGCCTACAAGTGATCAAACGTGATATGCCTACAAGTGATCAAACGTGATCTGCCTGATCAAAGACAACTGCTTTTAAAACGATTATTTAGTACAGGTGTTGTTAAAAATGGGAATAACTGTTACCCTATTTCATATAATATCACGTGACACTATATGTCAGAATTGCTTTCCATTTAGAAAACGTCACTTTAGAAGTAAAACGTGAAATGTTACATCAAACTCGGCTGAACATTTTAAAATATTTTTTCTTATTTTACTTTCCTAAATAAAAGACTGTTTTAATATATTATTTAATTTAGATATCTACTTTAAGCATAAAAAAGACAACATGACAGCTGTAACAATATCGTGACCTGAGTCTTCCTATGTCTGATATTTCAATATTTCTATTCTTTTCAGAGACAAAATTTACTTGCGACACATTATTGTTCGGATATTATTACTGTGACAAACCATAGATTAGAACTTTGATGTTATTTCAATCTATCTACTGAATTAGATACTTTTTTTTGTCATAATCTATCATACAAAATGACACAAAAAATCCTATGCTCAGATGCATTTTTCAGATACAGAACGTAAGGAAATGTTACACAGATAGAATCAGTTCATCTGTCATACTTGTCACATTACTTCTACATCTTTACATGAACATGCCGACATTATTTGAAGAATACCTCTTAAAACTTCTTCGCTCCAATCGTTTCATAATGTAATAAAAATAATTAGTTTTAATGTAATATGTGTAATTAGTGTTTGATGTTTTAATTTTAACATATCTTAGGCCTTTAAAGTATTAAGGGGTTATTTGTAATTATATATATATATAAATTGATTTGTTTCAACAGCTTTAAATGAGAGTATATATCGGTCTTAGGTTGTCGTATTACATCTGTAATGGAAGATTTTAACGTTTAGCTATATCTGTTTATTGTAATCAATATAATATACTGTTTTTCTTTTACAAATAATATTTTCATAGTCTGAAAAATGACCTCATCTCTACTGGTAATTCCAGCATCTTCATTAGGGCTAAACATCTCCAGCCTGTGATCGTGAAACACAGTTCACCAATTAGGTAAATCCCTCGTGGCGGTTGGTATTTCACTCGGGTCACAGTCGTGATCACCATCAGCACATCACACATAGAGAATGTATTGAGACTAAGCTCCGTATCGAATTCATGGATTATCAAGTTCGTCATTACTCACGCTAATGATATTTGTAAATCAACAACCGAGGATTTCGATATGCATAAAGAACCCATAGACTTTATTCTAATGAAAAAAGAACAGAATGATGTAATGATGGGTGGAAGTACTTAAACCTTTTTCAACATCACTTGTGTGCAAATTTTACTGTTACGGGGACAGTCAGCTGTGAAACCTTTTTTTTTTTACTTCAAGTCCACGGAAGTTATTAAGTTTCAATATTTATATCACCCATTTACTCCTCGTACAATAAGTAGCTTTACTTTTCTTATTCTCCAAGTTTAGGCTTGGTTAATCAACAACGGGACTTTGCCAAGCAAAAGGAGTCTGTAACCTTTATATTAACAGTGACGAGAATGAGGTAATGAAGTGGAATTATATCTGCTTGAAAGTTTTCTAAGCCATTTGTTCGTAGTTTCTAGCTATTAAAAATTCAACCTGTACGGTACTGTTTCAAGGAAGTTATTAAACTGATTAAAATACAGTTTTAAATGATCGTAATAAGGCGTAAGGTACTTCCTTTATTTAACACACATTTGACAACTTTCAGAAGCTTTTCATATTCTTTAGAATCATAATTTATCCTTGAATATATAAATATGCTGTTTCAATCATGTGCTAAAATCTACGTGGCTGTTTAATAAACAAATACAGATTTATCAGGTTTTTAATATAACCACATGCTTTCAATCTTTCTCGTGACATCATCGTAAGTTAGGCCATGGTTAAATGCGTATTTTTGATAATTAAAGATTGTGAATTAAAGTAAAAGGTACGACAATAGAAACTATATCTAAACTGAACATAATATAAATTCAGATAATTTAGGCTTTCGATGTTTTTAAAATCTAAACTTAGTTAGGTTTATTAAATGCTGCTTAGACTTAAAACTTAGATGTTCAATTATTATAGTCTAATTATTATAATTAAAGTTGAAATTTTAGAACAGGTCTGTGAAAGGTAATTATGTTAGACCACGAAGATCGTGGAAGAGCTCTATATTTCAGGGTTGGAGTTGGCGAGAAAGGTTAGAATCTGATCGATACTATAAAATATTACTCTTTTGCCACCGTCTCTAATTTTGAACTACACCAAATGGAAGGCAGTCTACTACCAACCATCCACGCTAACAAATTGGCTATTGCTATTATAAACTACCCACAGCTGAAAGTTGTATTTAGGACAGTACGATTAAAGCTCTTTGCCACCGTCTCTAATTTTGAACTACACCAAATGGAAGGCAGTCTACTACCAACCATCCACGCTAACAAATTGGCTATTGCTATTATAAACTACCCACAGCTGAAAGTTAGCTTTAATCGTACTGTCCTAAATACAAAAGTATTTTTCTTTAATAAAAATATACGATATTCATTTTACGCGATATTGACTGGAATATAGTGCACATAATCTATATATATAAAAGAAACGACCGAGAATTTCAAAGAATTTTTTTTATTTGCTCAATGATTCGATTTACTTGTTTGTAATTAAGCACAAATCTACACAATGGGCTATCTGTGCTCTGCCCACCACTGGTATCGAAACCCAGATTCTAGCGTTGTAAGTCCGTAGACATACCGCTGTGCTGCTGAGGGGCCAATGATTCGGCTTTAAATCTTCATCAGGATCATGAATTTTCTATAAAATTGGCATTAATTCTTTATTTATAATTTTTTGTATTAAACATTCACTCCTCTCTTATTTACATTACTGTAATTAAAATGATACATACTAATAATGTAAGTAAAATGATACACACTACTAATGTAAGTAAAATGATACATACTAATAATGTAAGTAAAATGATACATACTAATAATGTAAGTAAAATGATACATACTACTAATGTCAGTAAAATGATACATACTACTAATGTAAGTAAAATGATACATACTAATAATGTAAGTAAAATGATACATACTAATAATGTAAGTAAAATGATACATACTAATAATGTAAGTAAAATGATACATACTAAT